AAGCTTACTAACCATCTGTAACCTGTCGAGTGCCGTTACTTTGTGCTGCGCTTCGGCCTTGACCTCTTCTTCGGATGTCATCTTCTCGATCTCCTCTGCGCACGACCTGGAAAATAGGTGAAAAACAAAGTTGGAAAGTAATTCATCACTAACAAAGTTACAATTACAATTACTTTTTTCAATAACTATTACTTAACTTTGTCCCTCTATTTTCGTATACAACTGTAATTTATTTTAGTTAGCTTTATTTTTTAGTATTAATTTCATAATTATTTTTTAGATTTCAGATTTATTGTCAACATTTGTATTGCGTTAGAGAGAAATGATCAGAGTGAAATGAACAATCAATGATTATTTTTTGAAATGGAATATATATAATTTAATTCTTTTACTTCTGTAAGATTTCGTTGATAAATTTTCGTTATGTGCATCGTGTAGATAATAAATTTTCGTTACGTGCAGCGTATAGATGTGATAATTATTAGATTAGATGAATGGATAAACATATTGACAAATTAGTAATTACGAAATTAAGTAAAATAAGTAAATACAGAATGCTTTGTAGGAAATTATTTTCAAGAATAGTTATCATTAAGACTTTTCTTTAAAAATAAGCTGCGAATTATTAGATTTTTCGCGAAATATTATAACTGTTTAAATTTGGCGAACTTTTTAGACTTTTTAAAATATATTAATCTCATAATCTTGACTCCAAGTACTCATATTAATTTATCATTTAAAATTATTAATATAGTTAATATATTAAACATATTAATTAAATGATTTTAATTTTTAAAGATAATTATGATTCATATTACATATAAAATAACAAAGCATATAATCGAGATAAATCAAATAATTTAATAATATTAGAAATATTAGATTACTTAAAATATAAACATTACAAGAAATTAACAGAAAACTAACATTTCATTACTTTTTGAATAACTCTAACTATAATACGTGTTGCTTTTGAGAATCGGTAACTAGTTCTTTTTTGAAAGAAAAAAGTTGCAACTATAACTAAAGACTTCTTTAATCTAATCTTAATAAAAAACAATTCAAATTTTTAGTTAAAAGCAAGAAGAGAAATCTTTTACGTGTGGCCGCCGCTCTCTTTAGGCTCCGTCGAGGTCCCGCGGAGAACCGCAACTGCGCCGGAAATTCGTTGCCCCAAAGACATCCTTTAAGCTTCAAAGAACACGTCGTTTCAAGATTTCAACCGAGAGGAATAATATATCCTTGGCATGAGGAATATCAGGATAGGTCTTGTGAGTCATCCCGCGGCCTTCATAGCTATGCTGTGCTTCTTCATGATACAAATCATCTCATCAAGTTTATTCAGAACCACTGACGATGACCACAATTTTTCTGGATTACCACGTGTAGAAGAAACGTATATTATCTCCGTACAATATTTCTTGCATAAGTTTGTCTGTGTGGAGAATTATTAAAGAACAAAATTACTTCTTTTTAATCAAATTATCTACAGTTTTACATCGTTACATCGAACAATTAAAAATTATAGAAATATGTTATCCCTAGCATCCTCTTTAGCTTCGCGAAATGTTAAAGAAGATAACAAATTTACAAGACAAAAAGTTTTCACGGTTGCGGGAAAAAAATAGCTTATGAAGATCTCTCTTCGATTATTTCCCTGAATTATCTCCTCTTATCAACCGCTTCGTTCTCTTCTCCGCGTTCTCCAGAGAATCAAAACCGGCGAGGGAACACGTCTTCTCGCGAACGATTATCGAGACACGTGCGAACCGTTTGGTAGCGCATCGCGACACATGACGATCCTTTCGCGCGAACCACCGGGAACCATCAGGGCATACTGCACAAGCGCGCACGAGAGCCGAACGCTGGCCCCGACGTTGACGGGGGCGACGACGGGGTAAGGCCCCGAAGGAGGTCACAGCCGATCTATTACGTTCAGGATCATTGTACCGCGTTAGTTGCGGGCGCGAGTGACATCCGCACAGCTCCGTGCTTCCGATGGTGGGCTTTTCGCGCGCGCGATCGACTGCCGAGAGATCGGATAGATCTGCCGCCGCCGGTGGGCTAGGTATCGCGCCGCGGCGTTGGAATCTGCCTGCAATCAGGCCGATAATGTGCCCCATCCAGGAAGTTGATTAGTGCGCGCGTCGGGGGAGGCCCCGGGGGGAGGCAAAAGGCACGCACCGAAAGGGGAAAGGGGCAGGCCTACGAGCAGATGAATGGAGATGTGTCGCGAGGAGAAAGAGAGACCGATAGATCACAGGAAGAGGGCACTCATTGCGGTGGGTCGCACGGCACCGAATAATAAACGTCGAAGGGAGCAAAAATGCCGCTGCCTGATGCGTTTCGCAGAAACTGACTCAAGAGCCGCTTTGCCGCTTAATATTGATGAACCTAAGACACGTCTGCGTCAAAGGTAGATGAAATTAAAAGGGAACGGGATGAGAGGAAAAATTTTCGATGTTAAACTATGAGGAATGTCGAACGCTATCTTGTAATGCGCAATTCGTAAGCTCTCGATATTAAATCAGGAAATGATTGATGTATAAAGATTGATGTATAAAGGGTACGAATAAACTAAAGAATTATATTAAATGCAGTATAGATATGTATAAAATAACAATTTCGTTGATTGTATTATATGACATATAAATTATTTACAAAGAGACTTGTGTTTTACGTGTGTTTTACGTATGTATTATACACTATAGATATTATTATTTAAAAAATTACGAAATATTTTGCATTACTAATAATATATATCAATCTTTTGCCTATTTTAATAATAATTATATCAAATTTTAATATAAAATTATCGTTATCAAGATTATAACTAATATTAAAATATAGATACATTAATTTCATCAAGTAATTTTTAATTTCTTTTTCTGCTTACAAATATTTAAATGTTTAAATTGTGTTACTGATGAAACATGTAGCCGTGAAAAATCCTGAAACAATATCTAAAAGATACTACAAATTGAAACAACATCTTAAAGATATTGTTTAGATACGCTTCTAATAATTTTACCGAATATTTGAATTTCTAAGATATCAGACATTTCAAGCATCGTAATCTTCTGAGATAATTTCATTTAATCTGACGCTTGTGTGTTATAATTAATTACACACTATTGCAAAAGTATTTGCAAGGATATCTCGGTTGGAATGGTCGATTTCTAATCTTTCGCAAATGCGGCAATGATAAGAGGTAACAGTTACGCGGAAATACTTGTGCGTGATTGTTTTAGATGCACATAGGATACGACCATTTACAAGACCCCTTTGTATATCCGTTGGGAAGTAACCTAATTCCTCTAGCAATGACGGCTATATGAGTGACTATATATAGACTAACATCGGGTTCACAGTGGTAGTATAATACGGACAAATCGAATCTCCCCACGATAACGCGTTTAATCCCGTGACTTCAGAACGAAAGAGCGAGCCACTCGAGATGGAATTAATTAATGCATTCGAGAAAATTGAGTTACGATTGTCCTCGCTCGTGTATTCCATTTGCATAAATTCAATGACATTTCATATCTACCCTGTGCACTTTGCTGCCTTCCGATGAACGTTTCGATTCTGAGATCTATATTTTGAAATTATAAATTAATTGAAATCACGTAACATACTAAAAGAATTATTTATGATTTTTTTCTATACTTTGACTTATTAAGTATAAATCTAGAGGCATCGAAGTGAACTTCTTTTGATTCGTTATTTAACTTTTAACACGTTAGATATAAATGTAATGTCTTGCTGTGAATTAAAGAAATGCGCTTTTATAAGAGTAAAGATTGAAGTTAAATAAATTTTATATAAAATAGTTATCAAACATAATTGTTAATACAATTATTAAATATAATTCAAGTAACATAACTACAAGTCTATTTTACATAATTCCAATATATATTTCACAATAAGAGTGATTCTTTATTAAACAATTTTATTAACTTACAATTATATTACATGATAACTCAAGTGTGATTAAAGGCAAAATTGATCAAAATTCTATTAAATTGAAAACGAAGATCTGAATTCTTAAATATTTTATAATAATATTGCGATTATATAATAATATTTTATAATAATATTGCGATTTGCTGCAATACATTTTTATAATGCTCGTTCTCGATTTTCGCGCGATTCTACATGCGACGATCACGTGACCTGTCATGTGATTCGCTTCATTCGAGCGGTGACGAAGTTCAACGCGGTCCGGTTTCGCGTTTACCTTTGCGATGGCAGACAACTCGAAACGGGAGAAATACTTTCTCTACAACAGCCTGTCAATCCTGTTGAAGGCCGTGGAGAAGAAACGAACGATGATAGATCTGCGGAACGAGGCGACAGTCCTTGGCATCGTCGAGCAGGCCGACGCGTAAGTAGTGATCTCATTCTTATTGCGACGTGAAGTTCGCGCGCTTGAGAAATTGCTGTTGTATTCGAAAATCTACGCTTTGTCGACGATGACGCGTGATTTTTATAGCACGGCGAGCGTTGACGCGATCGACGGGCATAAAAATCGATCGACCATGCTTTTTCTTATTAAAAAAAAAAAACCTCGAACTTCGACGCGAGACAGTTCTCGCGATACCGCCCTGAACATACCGCTTTCGCTTTGCAGGTACATGAACGTCGTGATGAGGGATTGCATCTTCACGGATCCACGTGGGGATTCCTTCAAGTACGACATGTTCTTCGTGCAGGCGAGGAACATCCGCTGCGTACACATCCCACCGAGCGTTAGTATTTTGAAAATTCTCTCCCTGCCGTCTGGTGATTTTTTTTCCTCGGTTGCGTCTCGAAAGCGGGAATGCATGTCGTATATTTAGGTTATGTTGTGTCTCGCGGTGCGAAAATAGATTCTCTACTTTCCCCTCAGTTACTTGAATATCGTAGTATGGTATTTAGAACCTAGGACGGAATTTAGGTGTTTTGTTATGTAGGGTTGCTCAATCTGATTTCTGAAACGTCCCTGCGATAAGGCCGCTCCGTATTGATGCAACTCGCATCAGATGCATCATGCCAACATACGCCACTTAGTGACTCGCGATTCGCGTTGATAATCGCGTTTAGATATGATTAGAGACCTGAGTTTTTATCGTCGTACTGTCAAGTTGTGCATACGCTCCTCTGTACATAAACGAGTAATCAATAAAGCGAAATTATTACCTGGTATCGAGTATATGGACTCTAACAGCCGGTACGATTTCGCGGCATTTAGCAGTCTCGCCAACGAAGACATGGACGCGTTCAGATTCACGGATTACGATTGCATCGGTTTCGACCTGGACAACACTCTGCTACGTTACAACATCACGAATCTGGTGTACGTGGAGTACGAGATGCTCGCCAAATTTATGGTGGATAAACGAGGATACCGCGGGGATCATCTGTTAAAGCCGTTGACAGATGACGCCTTGGACTTCATGCAGAAGGGATTGTTGCTAGACTTTGAGAGGGGAAACATACTCAGGGTGAGTCCGGATGGTATTATCCGCAGAGCGTGTCATGGCACACGTTTGTTAAATATGGATCAGATAAGGGAAATATATCCTGAGCAAAGATCGGAAATCACGGACACTTTCTGTCGTGACGTAATGGCAACCTGGAACGGTCCTCTGTCTGAGAAAGTGAGGAGCCTGTTGGATTACTTCGATATAGTGGCGAGCATCGCGTTTGCGCGGACTGTAGATACACTCGATGAGGAACACGAATCACCTTTGGACAGATACAACATCTGGCCTGACGTGCTGGCTGGACTGATTCACATGTTCTCGAGAGACCATTTTCAATCAAACGACGGAATTTTTGGTCAGCTTAAAAAAATCCGGAGAAATATCTACGTAAATGCAGTTCAGACACGATCTCATGGTTGAAAGAAGTAAAGAAAAAATCCGCGACCTTCCTCATTACTGGATCGAACGCAGATTTTACAAGTTTTACTGCGAGTTACGCTCTCGGCGAGGACTGGCGATCTCTCTTCGATATCGTAGTGTGTTACGCGAGGAAGCCGGGTTTCTTTATTAGTAATCGGCCGTTTTTTGATGTTGTAAATAACAACGAGACCAATATCATGAACCAAGACCTAAAACGAGGTGAAATATACAGTCAAGGAAATTGGAATGATCTATTAGAATTTCTCGCTCGTATAACGGGGAAGACAAATCAACGCTGTTTGTACATTGGTGACAATCTCATACAAGACATTTATGTACCAAATGCATTTGTAAACTGCGATACACTAGCTGTAATTGAGGAACAAATGTCAGAAGGAATGCTTCATCACAGTTTGACTCATCCAGACGAGAAGATTTTAAATTCAAAGTTTTGGGGATCATATTTTTGTTTAAAAGATTCGACAATTAACGTGGACTCTTTATGGGGACATATAATAAAGAAATATGCAAAACTCTGTATACCAGATATCGATTTGGTAGCACAGAGACCATTAGACGAATACATTCCTTGTTTCAATAAAAGTGGAAAATATTGCGGATATTATCCCGCTGTACCACTTAGTATATCAGCGATATATAATAATATATAAATAATATATAAAAATACTAACAATTTAATTATGTTGCATTATTTGTAACGAAAAGAAAAATTTTTATCTTTATTTTACAAGTGCGTTCAGCGTAAGACTTTTAAATATATGTTTTATATTTGCATTTAAAGAAACATTGATATTTCTTAAATATTATTGTTAAAAACATCTAGAAATAAAATATTTAAAGATAACTTATTTTTATGCTTGCGCATTTTATCGTCTAATTAAGATATATTATAATTTAAGATACGGATTATACCAGCTATCATGGAACAGTTAAAGCGATTAAGTCATTCTTCGAGGGAAATGACAGGTACGAAGTACACTTACAAAGCCAAACGTGCCAAACAGAGACAACAGGAAGGCCTTGCTGCTGTCAAACAAATTTTAGAGAGCAGAAATACAACGAAAGACTACAAAAAATGAAGATAAATGAAATCTGTAAAAAATTAATTTATTCTGATTTTATATTATTTATCTTACAAATCCGAATAATATTAAGTTTGGCTTATATATATATTTGCTCATATATGATTGATTTTCTTTATTTATAGCCTATATAAATATAAAAATATTTTTATTTTTATATAAGATTATATTATGAAATATATTATAAAAATATTTGATAGCATTATTTCTATTAAAAAGAAATTAAAATATTCATGTATTGTTTAAAATACTCATTTTCTCTTATTACATGATCAAATAAATAATGCTTACGACATAGTAATAAATATCCCTTTATTATTTTTATTCAATATATAACATAAGGAAGGCCATCCTCAAGAAATACTTTAATAAAAATATAACAAATTTTTATATAAGATCCATATCTATATAAATAAGGAAGACATTCGTTATTTTCTTTCAATAGCAATAGCAATGCCCATTCCTCCTCCAATGCATAAAGATGCAATACCCTTTTTCTTTCCTGTTCTTTCTAAAGTGTGTAAAAGGGTAACTAGAATTCTTGTTCCTGCAATACAAAATTTTTAAGTGAAAATTCCGTCGAAGAAAGTTTCAGTCTTGATACGTACCTGACATACCAACAGGATGACCTAAGGCAATCCCACCGCCATTTACATTAACTTTCTCAGGGTCTAATCCAAGTTCTTGAACACACACGATTGCTTGTACGGCAAAAGCTTCGTTTAATTCATAAATATCCACTTCCTCTTTCGTCCAGTTTGCTTTTTTTAACTAAAACAATCAAATAATGTATTTTCAGTTATAAGATCTATCATATTGGAATAGGAATAATTAAAAAATGAATGTGATATACTAACAACTAACTTAACAGCTTCGACAGGTCCAATGCCCATAATTTGAGGTTCAACTCCAACCTGGGCAAATGCAACAATACTGGCTAATGGCGAGATTCCTTTACTTTCAGCAGCTTCTTGCGACATGAGGATTACAGCAGCTGCACCATCGTTTATACCCGATGCATTCCCGGCAGTAACTGTGCCATTGCTCTGATTGCAACATGATAATTTTAAACGTATATTTTTTTTATAATTATAACATAACGGAATATTCTAAATGCAATTTGATAATGTCAAATATATTTATCTTATATAATTATATACAAAAAAAATGTGGAATATAATATTTACATACAGGCTTGAACGCCGGTCTTAACTTTGCAAGTTTTTCTGTAGTTGTTCCGAATTTTGGGAATTCATCTTTAGATATAACAATAGATTCTTTTTTGCTTTCAATAGTTACTGGAGTAATTTCCTTATCAAAATATCCAGCGTTAATAGCAGCTTCTGCCTTCTGCTGAGATTTGGTGGCATAATAATCCTGTGCCTCTCTAGTTATCGCATACTTTTCAGCAAGATTCTCAGCTACCAATAATACAAATGATAAAATAAATCATTAAATTTAAGTTTTTATGATATAAAAAGTACATTCAGTTTTTGTGTGTTACCTGTAATTGCCATATGAATATTATAAAAGGCATCTGTTAGGCCATCGTCCAACAATGTATCAATTAGATTACAACTTCCAAATTTTATACCAGCCCTGAGGTAAGTGGCATGTGGTGCTCTACTCATATTTTCCTGACCACCAGCTACAACCACTTCGCTTTCTCCTGACTTTATAGAACAGTAACCAGTCATTACAGATCTGGAGAAATATATTCATAACATTATACATCCTTAGCAACAGTTACAGATAAAATGAATATATTTGCACATATATTATAACTATTATGTACTTTAGACCAGAGCCGCATAACATATTGACTTGATAAGCAGGTACATGAATAGGTATACCAGCATTTATCGCAGCTTGTCTTGCTGGATTTTGACCTTCTGTTGCTGTAAGTATCTGGAAAAGAATATATGACAACATGTATGTAATATATGTATATATAATATAAATTCAACTATATTTATAAAAATATATTTGATAGTTATTTCTTCTAAAATTACAAATACCTGTCCCATGATAACTTCAGAAACATCTGATCCTTTCAGTCCAGCTCTTATCAGGCTTTCTTTAATAACAACAGTGCCCAGATCTGATGCCTTCAGTGAAGATAAGGATCCGCAATATGATCCTTAATTATAAGATAATAAATTTAATTATTATAAAATGTATTATAAAATGTATAAGTTTTATATTTTATAATTGTAATATTTCTATAGAAATATTTTGTAAAAATAAATAAATTTTATATCTTTTTGAGACATAGCTCGATTTTTATTATAAATATTATATTTTTATGAGATATTTCTTGGCTTCATAATTGTGATATATATATTTCTTATATACATTTCTACACAATCAGCATAAAAAATATAACCTGACTGAATGTACGAGGAAAACATGTTAGAATTTCTTTTATTTTCTAAAGAATTTATACAAAGTATCTTCGAAATTCTTTTCACAATTGTTTTATGCAATTTAAATTTTGCAATTTTCTGGACTTCGATAATTTAAAATTACAAGCTATTTCATGGAATTTTACTAGCAGGCTCTACGTATCGTTTTTCGCTATTACCTATGGGTGTTCTAACTGCGGATACTATCACCACGGTGCGGTCACTCATTTTTCAGGCTAAACACCACCAAACTCTCAGAAAAACGCACGAAGACTGCCGCGTTCGGAATACCTAACGGAATTATATTAGCGCTGACGACGTACCAGGAGCGGCTGAGGAATATTGTGAAAGTATGTCACACCGAGCTGTGCACTTGCGCGGAAGAAAAGCAAAGGATCAAAGGAGGGGAGCCTGACAGCTATTCGTGAATCTATTTTGTAGTTTTCAGGAATATTATGAGGAAAATAATACGGTTTATTTTATCTAAAACTGCATTCCAAAACTTGTTTTTGGAAATATCAAAATTTGACTCGGTGGGTGTTCGTTGGACAAAGGATCAGAAACATTTGTGAAGTTTTGTAGTAATCAACGGGTAAAATTTTTTTCGAAAATGAACGTTTTGGAATGTAGTCTATTGAAACTGCGGCACGAAAGAATTGCGTGAGATGTGCAAAAACATGAGAAATTACAAATGCGTGACGCAAACGTTTGATAGTGTTGGCATAATGACACTGTTGGAGAATGATGACTTTAATATCGACTAAGGAAATTTGGAGGGAATGATAATGCATTGAACAACATAATGACGCAATTAATGCTTAAAGAATAATCACATTTTGCAAGATATACATATCAAAATGAAAACATTCATATTTTTACGAAATCTTTTCTCTTTAGCATAAGTCTTCAAAAAACAGTTTAAAGATATTCAAAGGATATCCTATGAATAAGATGTCCTTATAAAATAAAGGCTAAAATATGCTGTATTCACGTTTATTATTCGTAAAAGTCCATTGTTACATCGAATTGCCAAATTTTTACTGAGAAAATAATTCACAATAGAATCAGAAACATTTTTTATCAACCGAAACTGAGGTTTTTCCCAAATAATTTAAGTTCCATGTTATCAAGTATAATCTCGGTAAACCGAACTGACAACTCAGATTAGAGATAGATGCACAGAAAAGAAGAAAAGTGGTAGGGAAGATGGGTCAAAGTTTAGAATATGAATGAAAAGCTGACAAAAAAGAAACAGACAGCACTTGGACCGCGATAGAATACAAAGCTCGCGTCACGTGCATCACGAAATACAAAAAAGATAGCAAGAAGATGGATTTAAAAGCTGAATATCAATGAGAAAATCAGTGAGAAAAAAGTCGGACTGCAGCCGGACAACGTACACGGTAGCGACAATGCTGCGATTAGTCGAACGATACTCGGTGTCGCGGGTGGAACAACGAAACGCCACGTAGACACGCTCCTGCACGGACCGACTGACAGATGTCTCCGTCCGCGTGCTGCAGGTGGCACTGGCGTAGCGTATATCGGGGCGCCGCGGCGCGGCGTGGCGCGACGGCGACGGCAGCGACAGCGACGGCGCGTTTGTTTTTACCCAGCGTGCATTGTGGAACGGTGACTGGTGCTAAGATGGCCGACAACAGGGAGGAGATTTCGGAGCTCGTCGAGAAACGAGGTATTTGTCGGCGCGTCGCGCCCATTACTCGTCGCGATCGCGTTGCGCCGCGGACGCGCGCGTCGGCGGCGCGTCGCTTCCCTCAGGATGGACCGCCGTCGCGAGACACGTCGGGAATACACGCGCGCGACCACGGGGCCGCACGTCGACCCGCAGCCCCGTGGGCCGCGCGCGCGTGCCATGCACGCCGAGAGAGGACCGTCCGCGGGACGATCGCGCACGCACGTATGCGGACCCGGGCCCGATCACGCGGGTGACTCGCCCGTCCGGATGGTCGCCGCGGGGCCTGCGACGCCTCGGCGACGACTGTCATCGTCGCCGTCACGTTCGCCTTCCTCGCCGCACGGCCCGTACGTGCCAGCCCATCCACGCGTTTGACAGCGCGCGGATCGTCGACGATCGGCTTCGCGTAACACACGAATAATTCCGGAGTCCGAGTCACCGAGCTGATTACTCATTAAGGTCACGCGTCGACGGCCTTGCAGTTCGCGTCGCTGCGACGACGTCCTCGCCGGCCGTTCGAGATTACCGTTATCTGTCTCCGTCTGTGCTTCATTCTATCCTTCCCTGACGATCTCTTCCTCTCTCTATCTCGTTTTTTTTCTTTTCCTCGTAGCGCGCTATCGTCTCGCGTACCGTGACGATCCGTTCACGCGAATTTAACGCCGGCTGATTCGCCGTACACCTACGCGGATGCGCTCACCGTGCTATCGTGCGCGCAGATCGGCACGTCAGCCGCGGCGCTGCCGCCGCCGCCGTCGCCGCCGCCGCCGCCGCCGCCGCCGCCGCCGCTGCAACGTGCTCTCTCATCGGACATTCGCTTCTCGTCATCGCTAGATTCGGCAACGTGCACTAATTGTGTCCTGTGCTTGTGTTAACACACTAACTTCCATTTCCACAAATTAACTTTAATCTCGGTTCAATTTGCACTTCATCCTTTTTTAATTTGCAGAACTACATCAAGCTAGAAAGTGAGTTTATCACCGAGATCAAAGTTAGATCTATTGGTGGGAATGGAGTTGTGAATACCATATTGAATTCGGTTAAAGCCTAAATAAACATGATTCACACGCGTGGTAATAACTACATGATAGTCCTTACATGAAGAATACACCTGTTATTTTATTGATATTTGATATTTTTAGCGGTGACACATGCAACTCTTGAAATATTAGATTTTTTTGTAAGAATGTCATAGTCCAGACAGACAATATTGAATGTGTTAATTAGTCGAGGAATATTTTTAGATATCTGAACAATCTCGAGCTTAATCGAGATTAGAGTTTTAATGAACATTATTTATAAAGATTTAATATGTTAAACATTTAGAAAGGATAAAGTATCATCTTTATATAAATTTTTAATAAGGCTCATTAAACAATGTTGAAAGAACTCTGAGGTAATTGAAGAAAACTATAATTTTAACGTACTCTGTACATGTCGAAGTAGGCAGAATACTTGTTGATAAAGTTTCTTAAAAAATGTAATGTAAAAGTTTTTGAATGTATAGAAAATACATTGCGCTTTGTATCGTATAAAATTATAAAAATAAATTATCGAATTATTTAAAATAACATTTCTATATTTTTGTATATTTTAAAGATACTAATGTTTTTCTGCTACCTATATTTTTTTAAATTCTTAAAGTTAACCAGTATAAAAAATATCACACATATGAAAAAGAATTTTTAGTCGACTTATGAATTATAGCCTAATATTTTAAAAAATAGATTTATTTCCATCTAGAAATACCTTTTTTCACTCATATTGTTTTAATTTCTGAACGGTTGTATAAAAATATTAAATTATTTGAACCATATCCTAAATGACCTGAATATCCGAAATAACGACCAAGATATCGGTCTGAAATATTAATAGTTTTCAAATGTCATTTCTTCTTAGAAACAGATTACGAAATACGAGATTGATTGGTAAAAATAAATTAGGAAATTATCATGGGAAATTATCGAGCCTAAGATACTAAATGAAATGAACATATCAAGCCGATAATTCGAATGTGTATCACGCGGCGATCACTTGATATTTTGATATTTTGATATCCGTTATGTACATGTAACAAGATTAACTGTAATACGTGTCCAACGATGCGCCGTATCCCGCAACGATGCATTTCTTGCACATCGGTTCGGTGCACATTCGTACGCGATTCATGCTCAGATCTCATAGCTTTCTGAGAGCTAACATCTGTATTCTACATTCACCGCCCATTCTTGATGTCTAAATTACACAACCGCGAGTCCTAAGTGACTCTAATCAATTCGCTGTTCATTGCGGCGCAGTTTTCAGGCGTGTTCGAAGACGTTAGATGAAAAATTTTTCTCTTATTTTACGAATATATATGCACGTCGAAAATATTTTTAACGATGAGCGGAGGAGTTTTTTGGGCAAGTAGTACGGCGATTAACTTTGACAGATTCTCTTGGCTAAAAACGAAAGATATTGACTCGACTTGACCAGTAGTACATAAATCACAAGATTGTCGGGCAAAGTATCGTACGTTTGCTTCGCGTGATTGCAACTCAGATTCTCTTATCGCATTCTTTGATATCTGCATGATCTATTATCGATTGTACATGTATGTATTAGGATTTCGTTGCATTATTGCGCGTTATCTATCAATCACACAAGGATAATATACAGTTCGACAATAATAAAAAAATCTTTTACTGTAATATAATGCTTATAATGCAGTATTTTTTTTATTTTATAATCATACAAATTTAAATGATATTAATATTAAATTGTAATTTTAAATTATATCAAGTCATACAAATTTCTCAAAAACGAGCCTAATCAGTTTCTCAATTTTCACACGATTAGTTTATAACTTTATCAATCCTGAAATTATTATTTTATAGAATTCATAGAGCTTTTCATATATTGAGAAACTTATAAAAAATAAAATTACATGAATAAAATACAAGCAATTATTATTTATTAATCGATATTAATATATTACGTTCAGGAAAAGTGAGAAGAATTATGAAAAATAAAAAGAATTGAATTTGATATGAAGAAAGAATATTGAATAAATTTACAAACTCTATACAAAATATTACATTGCATTGCTCTTACTTCGAAGTCAGGTAACACAGATCACTTAATAACAGCGAAAGTTATCGTTACATTTAACGACGTTAGGCCTTTAGCAGTACCCTTGACACAAAGAGCGATTCAATGATAGATAATTCTGACATCATTCCTAATAATATTCTTAACTGGCAACATAATTGTGACTACTCAAAAATATTTTTGTAGTTCGATATGACACAGTTAAAAGATATTGTAGCATTCAGGGACATCGAGCGCGCGCGGTTTCCGCATCGCAAGTAGCATCGGTCGCATACGTATCCGCCAGATGGTTTCACGTATGTCGGCATGGTTCAGCGGCTTTTTAACGGAAGGAAGTCGGCTGACGTTGCACGTTTTTTCGTGTAGTCTCTCTCTCTCTCTCTCTCTCTCTCTCTCTCTCTCTCTCTCTGTCCTAAAATAAATTCGATAATTCTATCGAGATATTTTTATCATATATCTATTTCATTTTTACAATACAATAACTCTCCATTTTATATTCTTTCTCATAATGTTATGACGTAACTCTGTGTTATCCTTCAATCGTTTGTACTGAATTTCACGGTCAAGTTTTAACATTTTAAAGAATTCTTTCTTGCATTTGAATATCGTTCGTGTATTTTCATGTAAAACAGAGTATTGTGTTGTTCACTGTATTTCCTTTTGTTATTTTTATTCCTTGAAAACATTTTTCTCGATATTTTTTTCCTACGTATTGTATTGCAGATAAACGCTATTGTGTGTATATTAACTGCAATTTTGACAATAAACTTGTAAATTTTATAATGTACTTGATATAAGTTATAAATAGTAAAATATCGATATTTTAATTTTGCACGTTGACCTCCATTGAGATGCAAAGTTTTAACAAATTCCTAGAAACACTTTGTCAAATCTCCGTGTAAAACATGATAAAGAAAATAAACAGGATAAAGAAAATAAACGTAATGTTAGACTAATCTCTCTCATATCGCCATTTTAAATCGCTGCGAGTGTCAAGTTTTCACACAGCATTAACGTTCCCTTTAATTAACATTGCATAGTTCCACCTTTGTGTCTTGCACCTCTTTCAAGCACTTATTTAATTCTTGTAGAGAAAGATGAAATGGGTCGCGTGAGGGTAGCGTTAATAACATAGTGTACAGAATTAAAGCATAATTATAAGATTTCGAGAGTCGGGAGAACAACGGGGGAAAATATCTCGATGATTAAGAACACCTCGTAAAGAGGAAATCTTGATTTCCTCGGGTCTCGTAGCTGTGACGATTTATTATGTAGAGTAAGCTAGCTTCATTTCTTTCATCCAGGTGAGTACAAGTCTGTCGACTCGCACCGCACTGCGCTCGCGTCCGTGCTTCAGATTGATAGATCTTTGGCATACGAGTAGCAGCGTGTAACGAAGGCGCTTAAGTAGGTTGCAGTTATTTATTCTCGTAACACCCGTATGACTGCCTTCTCTCGGTAACGGGACGGCATTGTTATCCGCTCCCGTCTCCGAAGCTGCGTTTCAAAAACCGTCCATTTATTATTGGCTTTGATAATTTCATTCGCGCGCGCGGCCTCTTTCCGTCGTTAATCCCTCAATGTCGAATTCTCATGTCGCGTACTTTCAAAAGGCGATTTATAATAATGGCAACGTGCGTACGCGCTATCGTACGCGGCTAGAGATAGAGAGTATCTGCCTCATTCTCGTCCCTTTAATCTCGCGCATGCTACCCGTGCCTACGTATTCATTCTCGCGTATTCATCTTCATTTAGATCGAGAGATTGATACTCGGCTCTAAGCCATGCCAAGGTAACTCCACTTCTTTTGGCAAGCCTGTAAATGCCGCCTCAACATTGTATCATTGCGCTTCATTCAAGAGTCGATGGTGTCATATATCCATGTGCGTGTACGGCTCGTGTGACTCTCCTATTGTCGGGGAAGTACCGATGACAGATTATCCGCCTAATTTTGGGAACAGAGGGTACATTAGGCTAATTTATAAATAACGAGCGCGATTTTGTCTGATATTCCGCCCTTGTCCCAGGGTCACGTAACCATTGATCGCGCCGACATCAGGAGCGTAATAAACAGGAAACGATGTGGAACGCTTTAAATTGCTCGACATTTGCCGACTACGAGTCGAATCCGCGACGGGAAGTGGCTCGTGGTGTCGCTTTAATGAATCGTTCGTCTCGTGTCTCGTCGTTTCGTCGTTCTCGTCGTACACGTATAGGTGCAAGTCCGTCGCGCGAACTCTAGAATATGAGCCCGCACGCGGATTGTTCAATGCAGGCGGATCGATATTATACATGATGACTCACTACTCCTCGAATCTCGTTGCCTTGGATATATGCAGATATAACGTATAAATTTTTACGACGCGACTTTGCTCGACCTGCAATCGAAAATCACCGGCCGCGGAGATCCGCCTTTTTATCTTCATTTCTCCCGTCACACTTGCGTCCACTTATCTCTAGACATTGTATCGGTCTACTCATCGGACTTTCTAAAGGACAATCGATCTTGAATTTAAGTAATAATTCATTTAACGAAATAATCGATATCCATTCGATATCCGCTTGTCTTTTATATCAATTATTTTCATCGT